ATCAAATTTGACAAAATTCAATGAAATTCATATCAGAGAAGTTAAAGATTGTTGTCTGGAGTTCCAGACTTGATGCTTTCTCTGCCAGTACAGTTCACAAAGTGATTGGCGTTGACAGAGAAGATCCATAGAATGAATTTTGCTGTGATCAATCCATATGTTTATTCGAGTCCGCGGACCTGATTGTTGAGTAAACTATAAAAACACAAAACGATATTTTCTCTTTAAACTATGTAGTATGGAAATGTGATAAAACACTTTTTGTCCATTTTTTCTCCATTGGGATTTGAGTTTGCACATTTGCATTGTTACAAATCCTATCTACAGCTATGGCGATTTAGTGACCGCGTCATTTTTTGTGCATGTTGAGTGGAGAGGTACTGACATATTCGTTAAAGCATCCATGTGATATTGTGTAACTGAAGTCGACTTCAACATTAAATGACAGTCTAGAATACCTGAGAGCTGCAGTTTGATCCCCCCCCCAACCAAAAATTAAAAGAAAATCTGACTCTTTTTAAATGTCCATTTATTGAAGCATGACCTGCAAAAGAAATGTCTATTCAAGTCACTGACGTTCACCAGAAATAGTTTATATTAATAAAACATGTTTATTCTATTTTCTGCAACACATTAGAGAACTTGACTTTGCGTTCTTTCTTTTTTTCTAACTAGACTATGCTTAACAAACATTTTTATTGCTTCATAAATACTAGAACACAACATCTTGTCGCTAGATGTTAAGATGTTACGTACCTGCTTAAGTGCTTATGTGCCAGTCAACAAATTTCACAAAAATACACACCGAAGTAAAAACAGCCAACGCTCAAGGCCATTAAGTTCAAAACAATGAGGTCGAATTTTATAGCTTCAAACTGATGACATTATGATACAAAGTTGGTCGGAATTTCACTTGTCAACTAAGCTGAAAAAAAGGTCATTAAAGTCCAAAGTTTAGTGTCAAGTATCTTATCTTTGTACTGATGAACATTTTGTTTTGACATTATGAAGACAAAATCGTTGGAAATTCACTCGACTGACTAAAAGTCAAGGTTGCAATGTCAATAATTGTGGTCAGTAGGTCAAAAGTTAAATTGTGTATCCTTTCAAGATGAACATTGTGTTATGACATTATGAAACGAATTCGGTCGGAATTAAATAGGAGTTCAATGATCAAATGTCAAGGTCAAAGCTTCATGTAAACTTTTTGTAGCATGACACTGATAAACGTGATGTAATTATGTCTAATGAGACAAAGTTGTTCATAAGTCACTGGGCGCCTTTCTAGTCTTTCACGCCGTTCCAACTCCGGCCGTGGAATTTTGTTTAGATATATACAACAATTGCTAATGCGACAGTGCTGATTACTTTTGATATACATACAATGTAATTCCTTTCAATTTATTAACCTTCTGAAGGAAAGCTGCTGGACGAACTTGAACAAGAGCCCTGTTAACATATCTTCAGTAAAATCTGAACCTTGTTTGTTTTCTACTCTTCAGTCTTTCGTTTATTTTTTTTCATTGTTTACTTCGTTTTTAGGGCAAATTAGGGACCTTAGTAAAATATATATTCCAGCATCGATAACTTTGCTGTAGCAGAAGGTGAACAAGATTCTCTCTTGGTGTTCTTTTCTTTCTTAAGTGTTTTGACTACAAAAAGCATTTTATTTTTGGAGGCGGATTCGGTATTCCATAAATAATGATTCCATAACTAGAGTTTATTTCTTGATCGAGGCGTTTATGCTTACTCATATTCAACGGTATCCATATAAACTATAACTTGCTCAATTGGGTGGTCAATCGTTTTCTTGGTCAGAAATGGTTTATTCAATCTCAACTGCCTTTTTGTACTTTGACGAATACTTTTCGGACATTTTCTTATCTTATTCTAGTTGTTGATAACAAAGGAAATTGCAAAATTTCAACCCTTGGAATAACCAGCAATCGTATTTCAGCGGACATCGACATTTTGCTATTAGAGAGAATATATGTATATATCTAGACATTTTGACATTTTTCCATTGACACGAATGCGCAAATGACTTCTGTTAACGCAAAATCAATGTAGACAACAGAAGACATCAAATTTACAAAGACTACGTTATTTACATATTGACAGTTTTCCAAATAAGCAAATTGGATTGATAAAGATTTACTAGGCGGGTGTCGTCGATGAAACTGACGACACTTACACTTCCGGAACACCTGAACTTATTCCTATTGTACTATTTTGGATTGTGTATGTAAGTCTTTGCATTATCCATATTTTCCAATATTTGTATTGAATTTGAGTTGATACTATGAATATATTGACATGTGGGTATTTCGTGTGTAGTTTTTGTGTCTCTATACCTTTTATCATTAACACCAGTTGCGTAAAAGCGATATATTTCTTGCACGAAAGGACTTACTTTCTATAGTTTTGTCACAAAGAACGACATATAATGCATCAACCACCATACAAACAATATTTTGTACTGTGGAAGAATTCGAATATAACCTAAGAATATGTTTATTAATATTTCAATATATAACGGGGTCATGGTAGGAATGAAAATTGAAGTTTTCAAGGTTCGATTTCATCCTCACTTCTTAGCCAATCTATCGACATTTTCATGACATGTCCATTGAAATTATCCATTACTCTACCACCTGATGCAATATCTCAGACATTATCCAGCTATGAAGATACAGTGTTAAATATTTATTTTTTTTCTTATATTCACAAGTTTTATCCATCATGTGTTTTAGTTCTCGAACTAAGGAAACCTGAACGGGTTTTTTCATTATCTAATCACAGTATAAGCATGTGGCTCTTTATCTTGTAATGGTAAGAGATACTTCCATAATATGTAATATAAATAACGCACACATTCTAGCTATAAAATTCTTCATAAATTTGTTTTAGTTTTTAGGGAGGGAGACATTTTAATTTCTTTTCTAGGAGTTATCTCCCTTCCTTCACTTTTCATCTTAACGTTCATTAAATAGATTGCCCTTTCTCAAATTACCCTCGCAGACAACATTTGGATGAATTTCTCAGTATGTGTTAGTGGTTTTCATTGAAATTTTATCAACTATAATTAAAGTGATCCCCTTGTAAAATAAACTTTTCATTTTCAACGTTTCGTTGTTGTTGATATCATTACAATTACTCAAAATACTGATAGCAATTCAAATAAACTTTTTCAGCGTTTCGTCTTATTGTTGTGAGTTCGATGTTAAAGCAGCTACCTGAACGGGTCTGGGACCGCAGACCTGTCGGTGGATTTCCTTTAATAGACAGAAAAATCCAACGGAACCTCGTAGCCTTTTGACATTGAGAAATACATCCTCAGAGTTTAAAGGCTCACCGAAGCCTTACCTAGGCTGAACTTACGCAACGGCATCTAGGAAAGGAGTCAACAACCGGACCTTTAGTTCCGGAATATCTTCCCCTTCTGAGCCATGAAAATGTAATACTATAATGAAAAACCAGAGTTCAAACTTTATCATTGTGAATAGTACATTTCATACCGGTGGATTTCTCTGTCACTGACGTATGGTAAACATTATTAAAGATCACAATCTGCATGTCGATGTTCCACGGCCAAGACGCATTAATGGTAAGAAAATATTTTCTTTATATTGTACGTTCTCGCAACAACCAGTTCATATAAAAACCATGTTGATGGATATTGGAGCCACAGACGGACAATTTTATAGTGTAAACACATTGAAATATCAGAACGTGGAAACGATGATCGTGTAATGAATTTGAGAGCGCTTATTTGTCAATCAAAGCCTTTAGTTTGAACAACAATTTCTTAACAATTTTGTCGATATTGAAGATATCTATTAAGGCAATGAAACTTCCTCTCAACTTTTTTTCATAAGATCTCCCTCATTATTAATAAGGGCACACAATAATGGTAATTAGAATTTTTTGGTAAAAGACTGTATTTCCTTGTTAAAAAATCAACATTTTTAATTAAATCGAGTTCTACAAAATCATGATAAATTATTTTAGTGTTAAAATTTGACCGGTAATCTCCAAAGAAGTGGACGTTGAGTATCTGTATTATGCTCTACCTGTATCCAGATACGATACTACATACGACGGGTTTTAATAGAGAACTTGTTCTGTCGATACAGTAAACGATACTGACTTTTAAAACACAGCAACAAAAGTTGACCATGCAAAGGAATGATTTAAATGGTCAACGATCAAGTCAGACAGGGAGCGGTCTTTGGACTTTTCTGTTTGTGGTTTTCGTCAAAGACAAACGAAAAAGCTATTAAACGCACAATGCAAACTCGGCAGGGTGTTCGACCATATACAGTACACAATGTAGTCCTAACCTCGAATAAAGAATAAGGCGCATAGGGATAACACTGAAGTCGTCCTTTAAATGCCAAATTGGTATGGTGAACAAAGCAAGTTCAATGATGTGATCAAAAGATCATTCTATTTGCAATTTTGAGCTGTTGACAATGTATATCAATTGTTTGGACACAAAATGTTTGGTGTTGATCGATATTAAATTAGTATAGTATGCAGATGTTAATTTATTACAATGACCATCTATTTCAATATACTTACATATCGATTCTATGAAAAAAATAAATGGATATAAGAATAATTTGTATCAAAATTTATTCACGTTACATATAATTACTCAATTGGCACATTTTATAAATTACATTTCATTCTAGATTTTTAAACACACTCGATACTTTATTGTTGCAGTCGTCGGAACAGATATATATCATTAAACATGGTGTTCAGAGATAATTGGTCACTACCTCCATAACCCTGACAACCTTTATAGGAGGAACTACCTCGGATCGTATTGCTGTCATCAAGGATTTGATATACATGAATTCAGTAAGTAATAACTTTAATCTCACGCTATTTCTATTTCTGGTAAATATATAAGACTGATAAGACCAGGAAAACATTTCTAAACGCTTAACTGGATGTTTCTATACTTGTAACATCTGTCTTCACCCCCCTGACAATTATTTGTCGTTTTCTGCGTAAATACGCCAGTCGTCACATAATTTTGGCTATTGCTGTGACATAAATGGCATGTGAATGATGTACAGATCTCTCTCTGCCTATCAAATACAATGCCTTTCAGAATATAACATTGCAAATATTATAATTTGATATTTTTCTATTTAAGGTATTATCAATGTCCATTCGTCAGGTTGATCCCATTCGCATCGTTAGATCCATTTGCTATTTTTGATTTTAGATAAGACGTAGATGAGGATCGTTCAGCAACTTCCGGGAGGAGTTTCGGGATGTTGAGTCTGTGCTCGAGTGCCATGTAGTTCTGTGGTGGAAGGCCAACACACGCCCTGTGAAGTAAAATGAGGAGCATGAAGCAAGGAATAAAACAGAAATACCTGCACAAGTATGAAATAATCTGAATTATTATAAATCAGTATTCGTCCTATTAAATCATTAAAATCTAAATTGAGTTGCGCTTGACTGGATAAACAGTTAGTGATATCTCTTAACAGTGTCAATTTCCTTAATATGATAAAACTAGTCAAAACAGAAAGTAACTACACGGTGATTTTCGCTGTATTTGGCAAGCAGGTTGCGACAAACCTTGCGGACTGAAAGTCCAAATATATATGTCTCCTACAAGCTATATCTTAGGTTGTGCAGGAAACACAGTTGAACAGCACATCTTCAAATAAATTTAGAATTAGATTCACTAGTGCTGAATAATGAACCAAACTGAATCATAAAGACAGGTAATTGTTGCCAAGGGCCCTTACAAAGTTTGAGGGTTGTGCAAACGAGGCAGGACACTTAACATATCTGTTCATTACTGATTCATTTACCCAAAGAGGCCCAGGGTCATGATACTGGGAAATAATAAGTATTTTGTGATAAAGGGTTACTGAGGTTGTCCAAATCTATTACTCACTTTCAAGGTCAAGGGGGTCAAATGTGTAAATATTTTCGAAAAAAGTTTCTTGGATAACTCAAATGTTCAGAGTCTTGATATTGGGCCTGTAGCTTACATGAGTCAAAAGTATTCATAGCCTCAAACAATCTCTTTTCAGTAAAAAGGTGGCCCTAAATTTAATTATTTCGCTTACAACACTGAAGGGTATGATGTTTAATTTCAAAAGAACATGTTTTCATAAGCTGAATATCAGGTGATCGATACAAACCAATTTTGCTCTTTTGTTGAAAATTAAAACAAACATACGATTTAGTCTGAAACTTTATCACTTTCAAATGATATATGTAACAAGAGGCCCGCAGGGCTTGTATCGTTGTATGTTAAAGCTTGATTACATAATTACCGGGCTGGGATCCTAACCACTTAAAACAAAATGACCCAGAAATTAGGCTCCAAACTTGTTTATCTCTTGATCCCAAACATTGCTATATATGGTTATGGGAAGGGGACCTCAACTGCTTCAAAGATATAACAAGGAAACTTAGTCCCTCGGTATGGGATCAGACACAAGGGCCAAGACCTACATCACTGTTGCTTTGTCCCTTCATGCTCAGCAGTACTATAAAAAGTTATGGGATGGGGATCTCAGCCGTTTCAAAACTATAACAATCTCCCCTATCGAGCCCCTCCTGCCCTTGAGGACGAAAATCCGCCATTTAAACAAAATCAATGTCCCATTATCAAAGCATACTTCAGACCAAATCCAATCATCCCTAAAAGAGGGGTAGGATTTTAAGAAATTTGATTTATCTCCCTTGAAGGGAGATATAAATCGTTTTCTCCTTCACCCAAACATGGTTTAGACCACATTTGGTCAGAATCCAAAATGTTTCATTTTCGACCCCACCACTTAGGCAATGGAAAACCGGGACACACCATTTCAGAGAGATATGTTCCCTTTCCCCGAAGGATGCTTTTGACCAAAATCCGGTCAAAATCCGCCCAATCGTTCAGGACTTTAATTTGACGGACGGACGACGGACGCCATGATATACGCTCAATGGTCCTAATGACCAGGTAAGCTAAAATAGAAAGTTTTCAAAAATTGAGGTGCTTACCTGAATATGTTCTCTATGCAAGATCGTTGTTTGAAGAGAGCGTTGACCACAGGTGTGCCAGAGGGAACAAGTGGGGCCTTACATAGATAACTGAGGAGAGACAACACGCTATGGAAGCCTTCATATGAAGCCTGACTCTCGGTTTTTACCGAGATTCTCTTGCATATATCTGCCAGGATGATGAGGTCAAGGATAATTGGACTCGCTAATAAAGAATCCTCGCACGTGTTGTGGATGGAAATTGTATTTAAACCACCCATCATTATCTCAGATGTGTACTCGTCCATGGCTCGCTTGCTATCCCCAACATATGGCACATACTTTATTACAACACAATGGTCAGGCTTCTTCCCAGTTGGGTAGAGAATATGATTAGACTCGACCATGTCATCCACGACATTTGTTTTTGTGATCTGAAAAAATGTACAAAAAGACGTACAAATGAAAAGCACTTTTTAATAAGTCCGAATTAGTGCTGCCAAAACCACATAAATAAAAAGTTCAAAAGAAAGCAAACTATGTTATAGAATTTCATGATAACAAGGAAATATTTTTACGCCTTTTCGTCTTAGTATTATCAGTGAATGGATGACCATAATATATTGCTTAAACGACAGGCGATCACCCACCTGGGCCCGTATTCATGAAACCATTCTCATGCTCAAGTATAGATTTTGTGCTCAAGCAAACTTTTTTTATAATTCACATCAATCATATAAAATAATACAAATGTCAAATATAAACATTGAATATAATTTTGACTTGAAGTCCTTTCAGATTGTTTTTTTTTTAATCTTCGGCAAAATTAGCCTTATTTATTAATTTTCAACTTAAACAGGACATAAGGCTTGAGCATGAGAACGGTTCCATGGATACGGCCCTGGGCACCGCCATCAATTTTGCCATCTTACGGCGATAACATCGAATATTAGAAACTAGCGGGGAAAACACGTACGGTATTCTGATACTTAGCATTATTAACCTATGACCTTGACACTGTGGGACATTCACCTATATATGAAGAACGATATATGGGAAGTAACTCTAACATACATATAAAGCTGAACTGACGAGCGTATCCATAAATAAAGTTTCGGACAATCATAGCTGTTTATATTTACTGAAGCAATGGAGATTTTGATGAAATTCTCTCTAGCGTGGCCATTTCGTTCTAATTAAATCATTCTAACTTAAAATGTAAGAAATGTTCTACTCATCCCACAACGATAGACTAAACTTCATTGTGTAACTCCGCGAATTAAGTATGATGGACAGTCATTGTGATTACAACTTCAGACACTCATTCATGAAACGCAGACATTATCATGCAGTCAACACAATTGAAGCTTGAAGATGGTAAAATATTCCATAATCAACTACATGCTATTAGCTAAAGTAGTTCAGTTGTTTGCACTACAATATAATGATCGTGCAGGGTAGCTATACTTCGTGTGTTCATTTGCAGGATGTAATATCGAACCTCACACGTTTAATTAAATTTGTCTTATTAGACAATTACTAACCTCTTTAGACCGAAACTGTTTCGGCGCCGAGAGGTTCATTCCGTCGTTGTTTCCTAGGTGATTGTAGCTGACAATAGAAACTGGCTTGATGCCAGCACTGACTAGAAAGTCCACCAATACCGATTTGATCTTCGTCTGTCCGGATTTGAAATCATCACCAGCAATAAGTACATCGTGTGTCTCTGCTAGCTCTATCAGGCCAGGGACGAATGTGTTTTGTGGGGATCCGTTTATATATGTACACTGTAAAATATATTAAATCGAATCACACAATTTTTTTAAAATCTAAAATATGTTGTCACATTGAATCTTGATAAGTACATTTTTCATATACTGTTGTATCTCTAAAACATATGGTTAAATAAGAGCCAACCGGCATTCTATTTAAGTGATATTGGAGACACTTATATTCTAAACAAATTGTGGAAGTGGTGTCGATAACCGACTTAACAGAAAATGATGTTTATTCGTCATTTTTTTTATAAACTGAACAAGAAAGTTGACTTACACCTTCTAAAACAGAGGCGATACCAAACATCGTGGATGGAGACAATTCGGCAGCATTCATCTTTACAGAATGAAGGAGGGAATCGGCTGTATCATTTAGTCCCACTTCGACAGCAGAGAAGCGTTCTGTGTTAGCTGTCCATAAAATAATGACTTCATCCAAGTCGTTCTTTGTTTTAAAGTCTCTGATATCAGAACGGATCTGTTCTATCATTTCTTCTTTCGTTCCGCTTAATAAATTGTCTGCTCGAGCTTCCTGGTTAGCTGCTATAAAATCCGGTATATAAATAGATGGGCGTGGTTTTAGATTTTCCATATATGGTCGTAACTGTTGTTGTAGGTTCCAGTCAAGGACTTGAGCACGTTCCATAGAGTCGGCAAGATTCAAAGAGGATATATCCCATCCTACAAGTGATAATTATTATTATTATTATTATCATTATTATTATTACAGTCTTAACGGCCCGTCAACACATAAAAAGTCACTAGGGTCATCAACCGGTAGTTCAAGTGATAGAATATCTATGTCAGTATACCATGTTCTGTAATGACACATTTATTGAATAATATCAACCTTTGCATGGCAATGTCTTTATATGAATTAACCAGGAAAAAAGTCTATCTGAGAACCGTAAATGACAACTAGCGCATGAGCATAGTGATGTAAGAATTGTTATCATAGTAAATGTGACTGTTCACTTTCAAAGTAACTGTTCCACTATACAAATTATAGTTATTATAATGAATCGTTTATATTGCAGTTTTTATCAAGCTATAATTGGCATAAGACAACAACATTAGATGTAAATGAACCCATAGAACTGTCAGGTGTCATTTATTGTCCTTATTCGCTTTACATGTTGTTTGTTTACAACGATCTGTCTTTCATAACGATAATACGCCCATAACAAGACCGCCCAACGCTTATCCAGCTACCCTGTTCGCCTAAACAATGATGATAACAAGACCGCCCAACACTTACCTAGCTACCCTGTTCGCCTATACAATGATGATAACGAGACCGCCCAACACTTACCTAGCTACCCTGTTCGCCTACACGATGACCATAACAAGACCGCCCAACACTTACCTAGCTACCATGTTCGCCTATACAATGATGATAACAAGACCGCCCAACACTTACCTAGCTACACTGTTCGCCTACACAATGATGATAACAAGACCGCCTAACACTTACCTAGCTACCTTGTTCGCCTACACAATGACCATATCAAGACCGCCTAACACTTTCCTAGCTACCTTGTTCGCCTACACAATGACCATAACAAGACCGCCTAACACTTACCTAGCTATCTTGTTCGCGTAGACAATGACCATAACAAGACCGCCCAACGCTTACCTAGCTATCCTGTTCGCCTACACAATGATTTGAGGTTGATTTAGCTACATCAGTCGTACATATCTCTCTTTGTACAGATATAAAACAGGTCAGTGCCACCGCAAGGTTTTGACAACAATTTATCAATCACAAACATTGCATTACCTTTCTGCCATTTGTAAAATATCATAGTATTTAATGATTGTATGGCTTAATCACACTTCCGAAGGGCAACTTCCTATTGCCTAACCTGTTGTTCGAACATTCACCAGCTTGGGCTTTTATCATAACTAACTTGACACATTCCTGGTAAAGTTTGTGATGTGTAATGGAAATAAATTTCGAAGTTCGTATATCATTAATCTGTAGCGCCCCAACGGCAACCGCCACGGGAAAGATAGAGATAGATAGATATCATTAATCGATATTCTTTATGTAGTAATGTTTGGCATGACTGGTCCTTGGAAATGTTGAAATGAATTTGAAATAACAAAGACAAAAATACATTTTCTTAAACGAAATAATCAAACTAGTGTATAACATTAATTATCCGAGATTACTTTCTTGCATTGTTTTATCCTAATATATCACTACACGGGTAAAGCGGCCTATGGATATTACATACTTTTTTTTTCTTTTTTTTAGTAACTTATATTTTTTTATTCAGTTTTATCATCACAAATACATAACAATACATTGCTCCTCATAAATCTTCAAATGATGGCAAATTTTGTTGACCTCTTGTTCTTCACATACAAAACAGATCATACATCAATATTAAGTATACACCACACACATACAAAACAAACCACGTGCATACTTGTATTAGATATACACCACACATACCATACTAACCACACATACTACTAATAAATATACATACATACATACATACATACATACATACATACATACATACATACATACATACATACGTACATATATTAGCATTGTATCACACATTCAGCGCAAACTGATTAAACTGAAGCACTGATTAAAACTATTATACGTTTGTATATAATCAGTAGACATACATACCTCCTAAATGTATAATCATTTATCACTTATAGCATATATAGATATAGTTTACAAATATATGAGAGAGAGAGAGAGAGAGAGAGAGAGAGAGAGAGAGAGAGAGAGAGAGAGAGAGAGAGAGAGAGAGAGAGGTGCGGAGCTAGTATACAAAAACAATGGGCTACAAAATTAAAAAGGGATTTTGAGGGGTGGGGGTGTGGTAATAGGGAGGTAAATATTTAAGAACAGGATGGATGGAAGGGTGTATTGGCTGGTAGCTGTGATACTGGAAACTTCTGCACGACGATCATGTAAGAGACTGGAAACTGATGTAATGATAAATACCAATTCATGAATTCTGTTGTATTTTATCATTGTGTACTGCAGGCGATATATGTTACAATTTACATAAATTAGAGACATTATTCTGTTATTTTTATTGACCTTTTTCAATAGTTTCCATTCGATCACATATTTAACAGAAAGCATTTCCCCTTTATTACAAGTTTGGGCTTTATGCTGAACAAGGATTGAGCATTTAGTTCAAGTAAGTTAGTTGTGTACAAATATGTTTTTATATACGGAATGACCTGATTGTCAACTTAATCTCGTGTGCTGAAAGGCCATTGACGAATAAATAAAGTCAACTTTATATATTGAAACGTTGTTATTACTGATCTTATCAAAAATGCAAGTTTGTTTATTTAAAGAAACATGTATCAATCAGAGCGGAGAATACTTGTCCTTTGAAAGGTATAGAGAGTTATCGTCCTTGCCAAGTAACATGTTTTTCATGGAAGATAGGCCAAATTTCGTGACGTTTTCTTATGTTGTTCATGATCTCCTGTAAATAAACTTCATTACTGCCAGCTAATGATTACTTAGACAGTCTAATAAATCATAAATACAATGACACAAATATAATTAAACCTGCAGCAATATTACGCCGTCAAATCCACTTTCCGACTCGTTAAGTCGTGGTTATTCACCATCAACTTGTTAAAAAAGAATATGAATACTTCGACACGGTTTCTTGATTTTGAATAAGATTTTGGAATTGATCACATTAAAAACAACATACAATTGTTTCCTTTCCAGTGTTACAGAGCTTGCAGAGAGGACAATCTTTTCGTTTCGCTTTAATAAAAAAATTGTACTTAAAGTAATGTGTATCATTCTAAGGGATTTGCAAAGGTTTAACCAGTTCTCATCTTTAAAATCAGAAAGTTCTCCATTCTTTTTTTTTTTTTGCTCTTAAATTTTGGCGGTTCTCTCTCTGCTTTAAAAAAAGTATTTTTAATAGGTATTCAGTGACCTCCTGTTGTTATCGATAATAATAGTAAGCCTTAGTGCTGCCCAGGAGCCCAACATAAATACAATAACATATACTATTAGGAAAGGACTTCAAAATTTCTCCTTATCTGAAAGTTAGAAATCATAGAAGGACCCCCCTCCGGAAGTGCAGACACAGCGCAACACTAGATCAGTCTAGATGAGGGGAGAACTCCCCTCACGTTGCCAGAGAATCGACTTTAATCGATTGGACAACGCCCGGCAAAAGGCAGAGTCACTGAGACTAAAGGGCATCATCGCCTTACCATTCTTTCGAACTGAGTTGCGCTTGAATGCCTCCTTTTGAGGGAGAGACACGCCCACCATCCTCCCTTTGGTGTACTTCTAATATAGGACTCATAGAATCGTCTGTATGGGTGTACGCTCATTTGCATACATAGTACACAGTTTCACTTAAAATGAAATGCAACGAATAAAACCAACCTATCGAGAGGTATTCATGCTTAAAACAACAAATTACGTAGCAATAGTTTCGCGAAAAAGTTTAATATGGTGATATTTTGAAGATATTGGGTACTGGTGTTGCAGATCTGTTTTACATACGTTCAATATACGTTATCTATCCCGTGATACACAACGATATCATGTAAAAACAATTAATCACAATTAGTTAAACGGAGGTAAAGAGCGATATTTAATTTCACAATTTACGTAATGTAATATCCAACATTAGGCCGCTGTCTGATTTCGTTATATATTCTGAAATTGGTGTATTTTGAAATGAACAAATTTGAAACACCGCGAATAAGATTTTTCCTGTTATATATATAGAAAACAAAAGCGAGATCAATACACGTCTTCTAATAAAAGACAGTGTGATTTTCCTGACACGCATGGGCTGTCACACGAACAAAGCTACCTGAAGTAGTGTTCTGTTAATCCCTTTTTCTTAATCTCTTTTATGTATGTGACTGTGCTGAGTGCGTTACGGAGTTTTTATACACAATTGGAGATCCTTGTGCACGCGGGATGGCCGTGTCCTTATATTTTGGTTTTTGTTAAGGAATTTCCGTAATATTCTACGCATCAGGTTAAACTATATGAGATGAGCGATTCCAACAGTGCCCGTCTTGTCTTCAAATACGTTTGTCTAGTTTTTATTAACTGCTGTAAATTGCATTTGTATTGAGAGAGAGAGAGAGAGAGAGAGAGAGAGAGAGAGAGAGAGAGAGAGAGAGAGAGAGAGAGAGAGAGAGAGAGAGGAGGAGAGAGAGAGAGAGAGAGAGAGAGAGAGAGAGAGAGAGAGAGAGAGATTTGTATTGTGACTTATGTGAGAGAGAGAGAGAGAGACAGACAGACAGACAGACAGACAGACAGACAGACAGACAGAGTGGGGGGATGGGGGGGGGGTACACATACATTTTTATCTCCAGTCTTATTCTTTACATTTAATGTTCTTGGATTCAACATAACTAATCTTGTATATTTTACAGTATATACATACCATCAAAGATGATGTCGTTTGGATTCACCATCGGTAATATATTACAGAACGGAATGTAGACGTCTCCGTCTGGTCCGGTCCCAAGGCTCAGCGTTGAAGCTTGTGTGATGGACCCAAAGTAATTAGCACACTGAATAGTAAAGTGTTACTTTGTTTGAAAAACAGAATTTCAATATGGCAAACGCATTTATGGGAATATAGCATTTTTCACAAATTGAATTTAAATCTGAAAGTTCTAAGCATAGATTCGACTTTTTTAAAGTTAAGATCCCAAGTGTTTTTTGTTTTTTTTTTTTCTTCTCGTTTTTCACCTGCATCGCTCTCAATTTCTCGAAACGTTTTGAACGCGTTTTCGAATATTCAAATTCAGCGTTAGAAATACAATATGATAAAACTATAACCATTAAGAAACGCTAAACTACTGATATTGGTAAAATAATCGAATATTTCATTGTTTTTCATGCAGTAGCCTCCCTTGGTGTGTGGAGATGCGCTTTTCCTTGGTATGTATGTACATTTTGATTATCTAACTTCCGATGTAAAGGTTCCATGAAATGATCGAAAGTATTCCTATTTTTTGTTTTCCTTAACGTGGACGATTAACCAACTAACGTAACCTACAATAAGTAACAAAGGTGTTTAGTTAAATCTGTATGCGTTACTCCCGTCGTCATATGTTGACTGACAAACAATAATATGCTTGAGTCTTTAAATGTAGATGAGTTATCAAACAATATGAAAACAAATTAAATTCTTTCTTTGTCAAAGGACCATTACGGATCATGGTCGCGTTTCTTCAATCGACCACTTGACATGAACGAGGTGCCGTGAACTGAGGCTTACCGAATAGAATGCTTTGATAAATGGCTGTCGATGACCACACTGATCAATGTGCTCAAATCTTGAAATAACATGCATACAAAGCTGGTGTCAAAGGTTAACTCGTTTATCTATTGTATTCTGTCGACGAGCACCACAAAAACGTCCAGAAAGAGGAAAACAGACTTTATACTAACAAATACTAGCAATAAACTACATCCCAGCGAATTTAACGTAAATTATGTAAAACGAAAACAAACCAAATTTTGTACAGATAGAACGCCAAAAATTTAGTCTCAATTTTTTTAAAGACAGATTTTTTTAAAAATCTTTTTATAATCTCTTCTGTACAAAGTCCTCTAATCTATACGAGTGTTACATCTCCAATTAAAAACGGAGAAAATGCATGACACATTGATATCTAGTAGAAAGTTACTACACAAAGGACGTTAAGGAGAACTGATTTTATAGACTATTTGAAAAGATGTAAATTAAATGTTTAGCTGGTACATGAAAGTTAATGAAATTACGTATAAGTGGAATGAACTGCATGTTAAGTTCGAATTCAGCACTTTTATCCTATATCACTATTTTTCGTCTTCTAAAATGTTATTTTCACTGTGAGTAACATTTTATCCACACTGTGTATAAATATCGCTGTCACTTAAATCGGTACGTAATGTTTGAGAAGGTTGCTCCATCTCGTGCCCGATACAACTGTTACTACTATAAACGTTATTTATTTTACAACAATTGCGAAACAAGTTATTTCAGCTTATACTAATCACTCTTGGTGGCCCGGATGTAAGCGCGCGAGGGGTCTTATTGTGGGAGGAAAACCGGAGTACCCAGGGAAAACCCACGTGGTCGGGCAGGTGACCCTTACCTTTTCCCGTCCGTTCCAGGAGTCGAATCCCGGTCGGGTAGGTGAAAGGCGAGTGCGTTACCACTGCGCCACCCGACCACCATTTGTTTATTTGAAAGAATAAATTATGTTATATTTAAAATCTTTATTCCTGGTTGTTGGTCAACATTTGAAGAAAGATTTGGCGTTTTTTGACAACTTTCAGTTTGATATTATCTATTTTCAATCTTATATTCATGCTAGGTTACCTTAGGTCCTTCCTTGGTGGGCCAGGACATCTGATGTTTGTTGGCGAGTACGGCCGCAGTGACTGTTGACCCATTGTTGCCTCCCCAACCCACCAGCATACATCCAAGTCGAGGGGTCTGACGATCAGTGCGAAAGGTTATCTTCACGTCCACTGGCTTCACCTTTAAAGTACATAATAAATCTAAAGACTGAGTCGTTTTTCTTGTTGGGATTATTCTATTTCATTGTGTGATGAAGATGTTTTCGTTATAATGATTAATAGTGTTACTACAAATACAAATACCGAATTTTGAAACCAATGATACAACTGAGGAAAATCCCATTTGACCGAAAATTGTACAAAAGACACGCAAGTGAATAGCACCTTCTAATAGAGTAGAGATGAAATGTGGAAGTGGTTTAGTCACATTATTTTATCAAATTAATCATTTTTGTATATTTGATAATCCCAGAAAAACCTCCAGTACATGTTTACATTACAGTGCCACTATGCGACTATTCAAAGAAATTAAAACGTGGCATGCAATGTTACACAAACTTTATTAAATGACTTTGATATGATATCATGATACGGACTTTGAATTTCTCAATTTATTTTATTCAAAGATAAATTTAGCTATCTTTTCTTTCATCCTGAAAAAAAAATTAAATTCTATGAAATTGACATTATTACAGTATGTTGTCGTTCACTATTTACCTTGTAGGATGACGGACCATTCTGCTCCACTGTACTCGTTTGGTATACATAGTCCGACTCTATGAATCTTTTCGAGTAGCGAACATTTGGACTTTCGACTGTGAATGACGTCATTTTTCTACCTTTGTGACCAGCCTGTTCTAAATGTAACATTTAAAATGATTGTTCAAAAGATATTCGAGGGTTTAGCTCTTTCCAAAAATATGAAGTAGATACATTTGACCCAAATATAGAATAAAAATTGCATCGTACAGCTCTTTCGTCATTACGGAACAAATTTGGAAGTAGATACATTTAACCCAAATATAGAATATATTCTGCATCATACAGCTGTTTCGTCACTCTGAGACCCATCAGTGATGAAAAGGACCTAACTTTTGAAACCTAGAAGGCCAGTGCTACCTCTAACAACTTATTTCATAATTTACAGATAAGACAAATTTAATAACAGCATCTGATACAAGAGAAGTCAAGTGAGATGATATATCAAGGTAAAAGCTTATAATTATCTAGGGTGAAAGTTGTTTTAATCGTAAATACCTTTTAATTTTGATACGATACAAGAGTTGTAGCAAGTTTCGTTATTTTTTAAAGTAAATTTATAGTTTTATTTATTTTTCTTTCATGTCTGGAATATTACATCCTTGTAGGTGGTTTTACTGTAATACATACTTACTGTGTTTATTGATTTTACTGTAATACATACTTACTGTGTTTATTGATTTTACTGTACTACATACTTACTGTGTTTATTGATTTTACTGTAATACATACTTACTGTGTTTATTGGTTTTACTGTACTACATACTTACTGTGTTTATTGATTTTACTGTAATACATACTTACTGTGTTTATTGATTTTACTGTAATACATACTTACTGTGTTTATTGATTTTACTGTAATACATACTTACTGTGTTTATTGATTTTACTGTAATACATACTTACTGTGTTTATTGATATAAATATTACGATCAAAAGATTCTTATACAAGTCAGTAGGAACAGTCTTTCATTTCACCTGACCACCAAGTTATACGGTTACACAGCAACGTCCTCCAATATGGTACTCTGTACAAATGTGTGTGTGTGTGTGTGTGTGTGTGTGTGTGTGTGTGTGTGTGTGTGTGTGTGTGTGTGTGTGTGTGCGTGCGAGGGTGTGTGTGTGTGTGTTTTATATGTAAACATACTTACATGGTACTAATTATTTATCCTAATATAGAACAAGTTTTACTGTTATAACGCCACTATCAGTAAAATGAACCAAGATGACACAAAAATATATCATTTATCAACAGCACTTTTAAATAAAAATTTCAAATGGAATCTAGTTGAGCCAAAAGTTCAATTAAACTACATCATACAGCTGTTTTGTCGTTCTAAGACTCCTCAATGATGCTACATCATACAGTTGTTTCGTCCTTTTAAGACTCGTCAGTGATGCTACATCGTACAGCTGTTTCGTCTTTCTAGGACTCGCCAGTGATGCTACATCTTACAGTCATTTCGTTTTTCTTGGACTCGTCAGTAATGTCAAAGACCTCAATTTGTTAAGCCTATGGGTGACTGAGGAAAGTCAATGGCGATAGAAAAATATCAAAATCTAGTTTGGAAGGAGCACAAACGTAGTTATTTAGTTTAGTGTAACATGGCTATTGTAAGTTTTCATTTGTCCGTCGTAAATATTTCTACTATATCAAGTTTGTCCAACTGCTGAAATAAGATCTGTGTATAGATTTGGTATAGCGTGTTCATACATATCTGTTTATTTATGTAGTTCATGATGTCCCACGACAATATGTCAATCTTACAAGTTATTATTAGAGAGTGCATTATTTTTCAACCACAGTTAACATATAACGTATTATACCCTGCCTGATATAAGATTCTCTTTAGCAACACATTCGAAAATCAAAAAACAAGAAATCTGAGAACCAACAGACAAACGCAAGTTTGTCTTTAATATGACAAGAGTGTTAAGAGATTATTACTTAAAGGTCAAAGTTTATCCAAAATCAATAAATCAATTGGTGTTACGTACGAACAGCTCAGCTGGCCAGGCTATCTGCCATTGTAATCATAATGTTATTACTATATATTTATAAGATTAATAAATTAGAGATTGTGTTGACAATGACATCTTACAGTTATCGTAATAACTAAAGAGGCTTAAACAACAGTACGCGTACCATCAAAACTATCCTGTATTCTTAATGACTGGTAATGTAAAATACGAGGAGAGGACCGAGTAAAAAATATAAAAAAACTGAAAGTTTAGGCAATAAGACAGAAGCTAAAAGGGGGCTTATTGAAATCTTAACCAATTAAAAACATGTTGAACATTCAATACGCATTGAAGAAATGTTTGCAGAATCGTTTCATATTTTAATATAAGGAGTATTTTAGTAAATATTGCTTACACCGCACAAAAATATATATGTTAATTGAGTGTCATTTTATAGAGTTTAACAAACAAAACGAGTTCATAAAAAACACATATAGTAAACTTCCCTAATAATCTCGACTGACTGGTGCTAACACGTGCATATACATAATGTAATTATCATTTCTTTAAATTGATAATGCTATTGAATCTAAATACATCAATATTTCAAACCTACCTGCTAGAGATCTCGTCTAGATTCGTCCATGTATTCCCACACCTTTAACAGAATCTTAATTGCGCCGTCCTATTTAAAGACCCCCTGTGTATATAATTACTTCTTCAGCAATCGTTTAGCATGATTCCATTACTATTTTACCATTAAAGATTTCCTTTCAAACTGATCGAAGTGTATTATCTTGGATTTGTAATGAAGTTAGCTTTTAATAATATATTGTGTTTCCGATAAGAATATAAATAGCTATACAAGGAATTTATAGAAAGTCACAACGAACACTAAGCTAACAATACTGTGTAAATACCAACTGATTGGACGGCTGCAAGATCAGGCCATACGCACGTGGTTGGTTACATCAACTGTTTATTCTTATCGATCTTACTAACACACACACACACACACCAATGCCACGACTTTATACCAATATTAAACATGCCGTATAGATGTGATGTAACGAGATAAAAATTCGGTAAATGTGTTGATACTTGTTATCACATCAAACATGCCGATATATCAACTTCAGATTTACAGCTAACCTTCACTAACGTGTACAGTGCCACGTGGTCGGAAACTAAGTATTGATGTTGTAATGTCTAAACCACACGTTCATATTTATTGATTTTTATTATCATGTTGTTTAATGAAATTGTTTGTCTTTCTATATGTTAAGGATCCGGTAAGTTGTATGTTAATTAATATATGTTATCTATATATTTGTGTATATGTATATTGTACATTTCTCTGTAATCGGATTTCACATATATATCTAGAGTTTACATCGTAATTCGTGTTATAACAGGAAACACCACAACAACCAATCCTTCCAGAAGTATTAGTAAAATACACACATAAAGTTCAAATATTGATCAAATCAAAAGGGCAAAATATCGATTAACACAGAGACTACAAATATTATTGTTACAAACATGTCCTTTATGTTAAACATATATTAAAACCAGTCTTAGTATCTACAAGTACACTGAATCCAAATATGTTTAGATACCGACAGTTAAACAATACTATACTTACCTTTTGTTGTCTCTATGTTACGTTGAACACAGTGTATTTCTGCTGTGTTCTGGATCAGTAAATGCTGCTCGTCAGCGATCACGCCATACGGACAGAGGCGGAGCTCCTGTGTGTTTTTTATAACACTGACAAGGATATTGTATCTCAGAACACTTGATGATACACCTAAGATTTCGTGAAATTTCATGCATTTCATAAGTGAAAATACATGTTTTGTTATTTTAGACAAAATAAAACACAACTAATGACGTTAACACGCAATTATTTGTACATTAAGTCACATTTAGTACTGTAATCATAATCCATTCACATTTATATCACTATTTAAATTCTCGAAATGTTCAAGCTTATGTTGAACAAGAGGTCAAAAATAAGGACGGTTATTTTATTTGAATCAATCCAATCATTAATTTAAAATCATATTTCTAATTCAGAATGGTGATGTGGCCCTATCAACTATTTCAGTTTTGATGTGGTCAACCCATATGTATACAAAAGAGTGTTTATCTGGAGAGGAGAGTAATGATTTCATTACAAACCTGACTTCTCCAGCAATAAATGCAGATAATCAATATTTATACTTGTGAATTAAATTAGATATTATATATTATTTACCCATAATATTAGATGTTATTTACTACACTCCTCGGATTTATGCTATTACTGTAACTTTCTAACAAATTGCATTTTAAAGTCTTTCAATGTATTTATTATTAACGACATTGTGAATTAATAATTAAACAACCACGATAATTAAGGGGAGGTAATTCAAGCTTCATACCTATCACGGTTCCTCGATCGATTCATTATCCAGGGACTGTTTTGAAAGTTTTGAGATTGGTCAGACAAGGAAATCTCCAGTGATTGGGCGAAAACGAATTTCCTTTTTAAGTAACTGTGACCTTTACCTTTGACCTTTCACAACCAAAAGCAATCCCAAGTAAGCTGTGTCAGTAGGGAAACTGTGTAATGTTTGAGATCACTCTACGTGAATGGATGGAAGTTAATTCTATTTATAGTAACAATAATCTTGGAATTTGACCTTTTTAACCCCAATGGCATATCCGAGGAGGCATTAACAATATCGATTGAACAGCGGTGAGTAAAGATTGAGTTTGATTGGTTCAAAGGCACTAAATCTGTTGTCGGGAAATGGTAATCAAGACCATTTCTTTGTATATTTTTCGATATTTCAATTCAATTTATTTCCGTAAGTTATACAACTTATTGGATAAATAACAGTTAAAAGGGCAAACACACTCACAGTCTTACCATCATGTACACTTTGACATCATCTATAATGTTAGTATAATATTTTAGGAGGTAACCACGAAAATACTTATTAAATTGTGACAATAAATCTTTCCTACGTTTATTTGCTGATGTTAGATACTTTCCTAAATTAATAAGTTCTTTTATATTTTCTACTTTGAGTAACTGAATGAATTTAAACATACTAGGCTTATC